GATTACTATATCCATATTGATTACTGTTTCAATTTTATCAGCACGAATCACACCTATTTATCACATTCTTTAGTATTGGTTTGTCTTTCCCGCTTTTAGCTCATGACCCTTCCCCCCCCCCAATTTCCCGCTCTCTTTGGCTTAAAAGCCGCTACTTTTCCCTGCTCCCCGGTTCTTTTGTCGGTATTTCCCCTCGGCTCCCGGCCACTCCTGCCTCCCGCCCGGTGCAGCGCCAAAGCCAGCAGCTCCGACCCGCCCCGCTGCTGCGAGAGAGAAGACAGCCTGCGCAGCTCTGCAGCAGCTGTCGTCCGGCAACAGGAAAGCCCCGCTGCCGCCGAGCCGCTTTTGTCCCGGCGACGGGAAAGCCCCGCTGCCGCCGAGCTGCTGCTCCGCGCTGCCGCTCCAGCTACGCGGGCTGCTGCTGCCCGCTCGGCTCCCGCACGGGAGGGACTGCCACCGCTGGCTGTGCTGCTGCTGCCCGCTCGGCTCCTGCACACAGGGACTGCCACCGCTGGCTGTGCTGCTGCCGCCCGCTCGGCTCCTGCACACAGGGACTGCCACCGCTGGCTGTGCTGCTGCCTGCGAGATCGTGTCACCTGTCTCGCCTCGGCGCTGCTCCGCGGCGGGAAAGAACGACTGATCTTACACCGTGCTGCCCCGGCTCTGCAGATAGAGAAGTTAGGTTCGCGCCGGTGACCGGCGTCCCTGCTCTTCCCGTGCGGTGTGGCGTCAATTGGGTGTCTTCCACTGTCTGGGGTGTATAAGCATTTGATAGGTGATCTACAAACATCCACACAACAAAAGGAGATGGGGAGAGGTATCTTGGTAGTCTTACTGCATCCTCTTTAGCACCGATGGAATGCCCAAGGAATCTGGGCAAAGCGTAGATCTCAGCAGAGCCTGGCTGGGCAGTGGGTACCCTGATTCCTTACAGCACATGCTTCCATGTGCCATGAGAGCTGAGATTCTGCAGATCTCTGTCCAAACAAGCACAGGTTCCCCTGTGGGCATCCTGGGCACAGCCTGGGGAGCTATTTCAACTCTGGAGGAGGTCTTAATTCCTTTTTTTCTGTTTTAGTTGGAGATTTACATTGTATTTCACCTCATTCTTCTCTGGACTGGCTCTTCTCCATGATGAAGCATGTGAGCAGGGTCATGCTGTGAAATGACACCTAGTGACACCTTTCAAGGGCTCTTTGTTCATTGCAAATGAAGCTGATGGTCCAGACCACTTTAAAGAGGCCATCCAAAGACAATGCGTGGTCATGACTGTGGGTGCAAAGCCAGAGAAGGACAAATTCAGAGGTATGGAGCAGAATCATCTCTAACCCTGATTCAGAAGTTCCCTTTTCCCTGGGTGGAGCTGGCTAGGTGTCAGTGATGTCACTCTGCTGTTCTTGTCTTAGATCCTGGTGTAAGTGCTCCACACAGATACCCACACACAGCTTCTGCATCTCAGACAAGAGCAGACCCTGTCCTGACTGGCTGCTGCCCACTGCTCCAAAGACTCTCCCTATGACATCTTGTACATTCACTAATGATAAATGCATTTTGCTAACCAGTTTGTCCAAAACTCAGAGCCAGATTGGATCTAGCATGGGCACACTGAGTTCTTGCAATACCTCTTCCCATGGTCTTTGCATGTCATTAAAAGACTCTGTGTTCTTACTGCTGCCTTTTCTCCGCACAGAAGCTCTGGTTTTGGGACCACACCATGTGCTGGCTGAAATTTCCACAACAGGTGAGCAGCAAATACATGGAATCACAAGATAATTCATATTGGAAGAGAGATAAGAAAGATTCTTGTCCAACCTCCTGCTTGCAGCATTTAGCTGTGAGATCAGACCAGGTTACCTAAGATTTTTTCCAGTTTAGTTTTTCCAGTTTAGTTTTGAAAACCTTAAAGTATGGAGACAGCACCACCTTATGACAAAAAGCTTTATACTTATAACTCATTATATCCTGTCTTATTTCAACACCCCTCTGGTCTCTCGTCCTCACATTATGCATTATGCAAACAGTTTGACACCTGCTTGATGAGCACCTCGCATGTGCTCCCATATGACAGCCCGTGGAGAGCTCTGCTCAGAGCAGGAACCTCTTCTCACTTTCTCTGTCACCTGAGTCTGTTTGGAAATGGCAGTCTGTGGCCACAAAAGGTGAACAGGACATCTGACACCTCAAAGCAGGGATAGAGGTGGGGTGTCTGAGCCCCTGAAGAGGGGAGACCCCAGCTGCTCCCAATCCTGTTGCAGACAGACCAGGGCTAATCCTGGCTTTGGACTTGTCAGCACATCAGCAAACAGTTCAGTCAGTGGGAAGAGGAAATTTTAGGCATGACCAACACCTGCTGTCCCAAACATGGGTTGAATGAAGGGGAAGACTCTTGACCTCTCCTGAACCCAGGGCTAGGCAGGGCTGTCACACTGCCTGTCACTTGTCTTACAGCCTCTACCACCCATATTTGGCTGGTTCTACCTCCTGGAGCTCTCCTACTGCTCCCTGATGGCCACCCTGCCCTTTGATATGAAGAGGAGGGTGACTGGCCACAGCACAACACAACCAGATGGTTCAGTCAGCCCCCTATGCCCCCGTCCCACTGTCAGCTCCCTGGGGGTGCAAAGAAGGCACAAGTGCTGCTATGAAGACCCTTGAGCATGTGAACCCCTTCAGCTCTCATAGCCCACCGCTGCACCCTGCACTGGGCCCTGCTCACGTGTGGCATGGCCTTCCTGTCTGCTAGGCTGGGGAAGTGCTGGGGGCCCCATGGCTGCTCAAGGGACGGTCACTGGGTGAACATGGCATCACGGCCTTTCCCAGCTCTTGGGTGCTGCCTGCACCAGAGGGCTGTGCCCTGCTGGTGGGAGGGACCTGGTCTGCCCTGATGAGGATCCTGTAAATGTGTGTGTGACTTTTGCAGCACGGTCACCTGAAGAAGCACAGGCAATTGAAGAGCTCCTCCATTACAGCCCACAGGTAGGACCTGCCCCAGGCCAAGGGCATCTACTGTCATTACAAAAGGCCTTCAATACACAGAGGAGGCATCTGGAAGAAAATATGGGGTATTAAGAGAGCAATTTTGGAAGGGCAGATCAATTAACGAGAACTTATAAAAATACATCTTCCAGCATGTTTGCAGCTACATATGTCTCATGGGTATTTATCTGGGTTTCCATAAATTTGGCATAAAGGACAAAATTCTCTTCTTGAGATTGTGCAGGACCTCAGAGAGCTGTAGTGTGGTGGGGAGCACTGGTGATTTGTGGAGGTGTTTGACACGTCCTAGTGAGGCAGCAGCGTGCAGGATCAGATGCTGCCAGAACAAGGTAAGACTGACAATCTCTCTGCCCATGACAGGACTTTAAGGAACAGATTGTTCACCACATCGCCACCATCACTCTGATCTTTGTCTCCTACTGTGCCAGTATGATACGGTTTGGGATGATAGTCATGCTGGTCCATGTTGCCTCTGATTATATTTTAGAGGTGTGTTACCCTCACCTTGAAATCATGGAATCACAGAATGGTTTGGGTAGGAAAGGACATTAAGGCCCATCTCATTCCAACCCCCTGCCATGGGCAGGGACACTTTCCACTAGATCAGATTTCTCCAAGACCCATTCCATCTACTCCAAGGATGGGGCAACCTCAGCTCCTCTGGCCAACCTGTGCCAGGGCCCCACCACCCTTTAAGTAAATAATTTCTTCCTAACATCTAATCTAAATCTCTCCTAGTTTAAAACTGTTGCCTGTGTAAAAAGTCACTCTCCCAGTTGCAGGCCTGTGCTCGTGCCTGTGGGTAGCACTGGCAGCTGTGCACGTTGCTACACATGACACATGTCAATGCAGTGCCCATGAGTGGGACGCATGTAAGTTGGTGACAGAGCATTTAGGAAGTATTTGTTCTGCTCTTGGGGAAAGATAATTGGATCCAAAGAGACTAGGACACATCCCTACAAGCCTGGTCATCCTTGCAGGATGTGGGAAATCCCTCAGCCCCTAGATGGAGAACACAGGCATAAGGGACATACAGAAATTTGTTTCTCTACAGCTTGCCAAGATACTCCATTACCTGAAATGGAAGGGTCTGTGAAGCAGTATTCAGTGTTTCTGTTGTGGTTTTCATCATCTCCTGGCTTGTCATTTTCCCATTAATGTGAGTAACATTTTGCTGTCCTCTGCACGTGGATGTTATGCAGGGAGCTTGTGTGAAGGAGGGTATTGGACTGAGAATTGAATGTTAGAGGGGATTGAGTGTTAGAGGGGTGGTAGCTGGATTGGGAATTACAGTCTTGGCATATGGTGTGATGGTGTTAGATGGGTGGGGGGAGGAGGAGTGTTTTGGAGGTTTTCTATTGTGGGTTGTTTTATGTGGTCTTTTTTCTTTTTTTTCCCTTTTGTCTTTACGTTGTAGATCAATAAAGTGGGTTGTTTTTTTTTTTCCTCCATTCCCAAGTTGGAGCCTGCGTTGTTCTGTTTCCGGGTCACATCTCACAGTAACCATTTTGGAAATATACCTTTCATGGAGGTGCTGGCACTGTGCCAGGGTCAATCCATGACAGCTGTTAGTTTCTGGAGAGGTGACCCTCCATGCTGAGGGAGGAAAGGCAGAGAACAGAACACAACAAGTTCAAAAATTAATTCAACTAGAACAGAAGAACCCACAGGGAAAAAAAACCAAAACCCTAGGGCTTTATCTATATTAATGAATTAATTCTACTAATTAATCTAGAGCCACAGCCTCTGCCTCTCTATTCCCACTTGAATATTATAAACACTGGTTTCTGTGAGAGAGAGAAGGTGCAAACCATACTGGTTAGAATTTCCCAAGAAATTCTTAGCAGACTAAAAAAACCTTAAAGCTCAAGGTCTACTAAGACACAATTAGTATAGAAAAAACAGCACGGTAAATTTAAAGTTACCTACCATGTATCTGAAATAAAAGAAGAAAATCATGAGGGATTCAGGAGGTGGGATAGTTGATATGCTGGGAGGGCATCGGCAATGATTCCTCCAGAAGCCACGCACAGGTACCAGCCTTGGAGAATGGTTTTTGCATACACTCATCTGGCAGCCCTTCCAGCCTTTAACTGGGCTGAAGTTGTTCTTTTTTCTTTACCTTTGCCAAGTTGCCTGGAAAAGCTGATAGTGACTAACTTCCCATAAACTTACTCCACAACACTAGCATTATAGTCTAATCTTTCTGTTTTCTTTCAAACCAAACATTTAATCTGTTACACCAAGAAAAAATTAAAAAATAGGACAGGCTATACACACACAAAGGAATAAGTCTCTGTTGCTGTCCTTTGTCCCTGCCCTTGTTGCACACCACCCCTGAAGATGCTGAGTTTTGAACTTTGGTCATACTGCCATTTAGTCTGGATGCCTATGAGGCTGACTTTGCTTGACAAGTCCCACATTCTGGTGGTCATATGTCTGCTTTAGAGAGAAAAGCAGTAAAAGCTTGAGGCAACTGCTGTGGTGCACTAAGTCCCCGCTGGATGATAACAGGGGTGTGACTGAGCCTCCTTCCGAGCTCCGCAGAATCCCAGCTGCCAGCGGAGGTTCGGCATGGAAACACAAGGGCAGCAGCACGGGTCCTGGAGTGGAACTGGGGTAACTTTATTCAATGCCAAAACTCCCACATCCCCAGAGTTCCAGGACCCCGAACTGAGGGCAGACAATAGCTTATAAACAGGGGGAGGTCTCAATCTTATCTAATTGGGAGAACTGGGGGTGGAACACAAGGTGGGGAATACAATGTGTAAACCAATGAAGGGCTTCAAGGGAGGAAAACAGCTTCAGTAAACTAATGGGGTTTCAAAAGATACAAAACTGACAGGGAAGTTTCTAAGGGGAAGGCAGGTTCAGGGAGGGATTGACATTTAATGAAAGGAGGAATAAGGAAGGTTCTGGGGAAAAGGTAGGAACAGGAGGGGTTAACAACTGGGAAAGGGAGGGGGTTTAAAACTTGTCAGGGAATAGCTAGGTAACAAACAGAAAAACCAACACTTAACTAAACTAAATAACAATAAAAAAGCAAGTCTAATTTTAAAAACATAAGCTACAAAACAGGAAACCTGTGCCACTCTAAAGGCAGGGAAAGGACTACATAAGAAAATTACAAAATCACAAATTGAACAGCAAGCATACCAATAAAACAAAAAAAGCACACTGCCACAGGCAACTTTCCTGAGAACAAGCACAACTTCAGTTGCCTTCACTACTGTGTGTGAAGTCCCAGAATCTCAACCTGCTGTACCATAATGTAAGGACAAAGAAGGTAACAGGTGTCCTGCATCGGACTAAGGGTCCACTGAGATCAGCACGTCTCAGCAAAAACAGCAACAGCAGAGGTCGGGGAAAACAAGTGCAGAGCAAATACATACTCTGTCCAACATGGTTTCCCAGAATACAATATATTAATGTCATAGGTAACTTGTGGAGGAAGACACATACTAGCAACTCATCATTTCTCTCCTGCTGAACTGCTCTCTGTCCTGTCTGCTTTCCATTTTCAAACCAGTGCTGTCCTCCTTTCTGTTCTCATCACTGAAGATACAGACTTTCTGTGACTTTTGCTAAAAATTATGCCTTGCCCAGCTGCACCCTTAACTCTTCCCTAACTTCATTTTAAAAAGCCATTATATTTTTATTTAAGTGAGGTCTCCTTATGGGTTCACTTTTGTTCATTGTTCCTCTTAAGATTTATTTTAGGAGAAATGTTGCCAGTTCCTGTCTCTTCTAAAGGAGCATTGCAGGTTTCTGATAACTGACCTGTCTGCAAAGCCTATTGCATTGTTGGTGATTTTAATACAGAGCTTCTGCAGGTCCTCTGGGACTTGCTTTTGAGAGCTGGGCACAGCGTGAAGCCTGGTGGTGCCATCCTGGCTCAGCTCAGCTCAGCCCTGGGAACACATCAGCCAAGTCATTCTGCAGAAAGACACCTGATCCTTGTAAGCCTGAAGATACTTAACCTGCTTTAGTCTTGTGTCTTCTGATTTGCCTCTCCCTGTCTTTCCCACAGTGTATATTATTACTTCATTACAAAAGTTTCATTGTTCCTCATAAGCTGTCTCATAAATGCTTTCCTGGTGATCCTGCAGTTGTTACACATTTTCTGGTCCTATGTGATCATTTGATCTTCAATGTCATCCTCTGTGATGAGGTATGAAAAGTCTTTGTCTCCTTTGTGCCACCACTGGTCATGGGAGAACATGAGGTTCAGGGTGACTCCTACCTGCCTGCAGGAAGGAAGGAGAGAATGAGAAAATCTCATTTCTCTCCTTCCTTCCTTCCTTTGCCCCACAAACAGCCCAACAGCTTCTTAAGGTGTATGTTGCGAGTTGTATGGATACCTTATCTCACAAAGATCAGAGGAGCAGGAGCTCACTTCTAGCTTGCAGCTATGTTCTCGTGACATGGGAACCATCCACAGACCTTACTCCTCACTGCCTAATGGCTTCTCAGTATGTAGGTTCAGAGAACTGGAACCAGTTGGTATGTCCAAAGAAGAGTAAAGGAAGGAGCAACCAGGTAAGCCTGGTAGATAGCACACCGTGTATTTGCATCTCTGAGTTTTGGGTGCCTTCCACAGGCTCTTGGATGCCAGAGTTTGTATGGGGATCACTGGGACAAATGTCATCAGAGAGGGCAGTTCCCTAGCCTGCCTTGCTAACAGAGGGAGATGACATTGTGGGAGCATCTGAGAAGATTTGTGAAAGCTTTGAGGACCTGTGGTCAAAAAAACCCTCTCCACCATGTTGGCACTATGCCTTCAACTTTCTTGAGTTACCCCTTCATTAAAGCTAAATTACAAGAAAAAGCAGTTTTTCTGAGGAAATTATGGAGGATACTCTACTAGTTTGAAAACAAACCTGTGGGAGCTTCCAAGTCAGAACTACAATTTAATAGGAAAATTAAAATAAATGTAGAAAACACTGGCTTAAACTGACAGTCAGGATACAATCTGACACGCTGTTGGTCAGGGTGGAGGCAGCAGTCCAATTAAACAGTGGCTGCAGTCCTCTTTTAGTGATAGATGTGATTCTGTTGAAGTGCTGATCCTGCAGAAATGTCTGGTCTTCCTCTGAAGGTCCAGGGAGGTTATGTAGCTCTTCTCTTCTTGGAATCCAGTAGGTGAGGCTCCTCATGGTGTTCCAAACTCAGATTATATCCGGGTAGGAATGCTTGGTTCCTCCCTATGGGTGGAGCATTTCACAGTGAGATGATGTAATTTATGAGTCATGCAGTGAGACTTGATGACTCCTTGGCAGAAGATATCCCCAGGAGGGTGTTGTCAGGGCTGAGTCATGGACGAGATAAAGAACACTGCCCTGCCTGTTTTTAACAGTTTATGAAGATGGTGATAGAACACATACTTTTGGTTACATCTTACATTGCAACCTAAGACAGACACGCTCTTTGAGATTGTAGACAATAGCAAAATAAGGAGTGCAGTGCATATGCTTGCTGGAAAAATCTGTGCTGGCTTTCACAGCTTCAACAGTAATAAATTGCATAGAAAAATATGCTGAACAACTATATGTAGAATAACTTATTTTCAGGAAATCATATTACAAGACACATTACCAGGGTGAGAAAAATTGGGTTAGAGTTAACGTCTGTCAGCTTGAGTCAATCTCCCAATGTAGGGACAATTGAGGCACTGGATTTAATAACATGATCACCCTCTTACTTTTATTTTAGATAGGTTAAGCCCCGAGAACTGTGAATGAATAGAGGACTAGTCTTCTCAAATACAATTTAAACTTTCTTTTCTTCAGAATAGACAAGATGTCAGAAGTGACACCAAAGAGAGTGACAAGAGCAAGGAGAGGATCTGGCAAAGAACAAAGAATAACACAGGGCTTTCTGCAAAACACCAGGATCCAGGCAGTCTTTGGAATGAAGAAAGGCTGAACAGGAGTTGGGGGAGAGGCTGGACAGGGCTCCACTGCAGTGTGCCTGAGGCCTAGGTGGTTTCATCATATCTATAGGCAGTTAAGTCACTTCAGGAGCTGTTTCCTAGAATTATTTTGTTAGCATTATTCTTTTATTACTACTCTATAATCATTCATCCAGGAAGAAAAGAGTATACCAGCTAAAGACCCACTGTATAAAGAGACGAGGGGTGGAACAAGCTGCTGAAGTTATGACTTCTATCTGTGATTATCTCAAAGCCTTCCCAAAAGTTTCATGAGATAATAAACTAAAATGGGGAAGATTTAACCAATCTGCAGTTTCAAAAGACAGTGGCATTCATTGCTAGCCACCCCATGAAAGGACTTGCATGTGACAGGCACTGGTTTAAATGGCAAATAAGCTTTCACTTGGGAAGTATAAAATGGTCAGGCTCTGGGATAAACCATTTCTGTAGCTAAGGCCTGGCCAAATGATACAAGCTGTATTTGCTGTATGAATTATTCAAAATAGCTCTAATGTCTAAAAGATTTTTCTTACTGAATGTCCACTCAGGGAAAAGTCTCCTAAAATTGAAAGGAACTAAATTCTTCCAAATGCACACTTTTCCACCAGAAATTATACATAATAAATGGAAGCTTTCTATATGGATGTATTAATTTTGTTGAGATTTCATTTTTAAAATTGGAAAATAGGAGCATTACAACACTATCATTTTACCTGGATAGTTTAGGAATTGGGTGATGCTTCACCTTGTAATTTCTTGCATAAGTTCTAATTTTCAGAATCTATAGTATAACAAAAAAATTTAAGTAAATATAAAAAATTAATTACACAAAAAAAGGGTCTGTTTTATGTACATTTTGCATGAAATCTTTTTACACTAGCAGATCATATGTCAGTAGGAAAATCTTTGAACCTTGCTGGCAACCTGACGTCACATAACTCAAACGTTGAACCAGCTTTCCCTTGAAGGACTCTGGAATTTGGGTCTCCAGGCTGCAATGTTGGAAGGCAGGCAGCCACCCTCTCTCCGTGGAACATCAGCCTTGAGCAGGATGTCACCTCACCCCCACTAGCTGCCCTTAGGTGAGGTGAAAGACCTTTCACTGGGACCCCTGGGTAAGGGTTCGCCCATGAATTAATGTACCTTGTCCTGTCAAGTACGATGCTTTCTTTTAAAGCCCCAAATGACACACGAGAATTTCATAATTCAAAAGACTTACAGAGTCTCCAGGGCACAAGGGCCTCTGGGCCCAGAGAACAGGCCCAGGCTTGGCTGCTACAGCCCCATCATGGGACCCCCAGCTCTGGGGGGGAGCTGGCAAGGAGAGGAAGCCAAACCAGACCTAGAGGGCTCCATGTCTGCCGGCCTGCTGTCCTGACAGAGCTGTCACAGTAGCAGGGTTGCTTTTCACCAACACCTCTCAGTTTTTAAGGCCTCTCCCCTTCTCTGGAGACGTTCATCATTCAGCTCAGGAGTTCTCTTGCTGTGTCACATCAGAGAACAGGCTGACAGCACAGATGACAGCAATGCTTGCAGTGCAGCCTCCCAGCTCGCTTCCTTTGCGCCAGTGGGGCAGTCACTCCCTCCCTCTCCACACTTGGGAGGCCTGAGTGCCCTTGGAGATCAATCCGTACCGCCGTAAGGCCATAGTTCTGCCCAGGACATGCTCTTCCTCATAAACAGTCTTTAATTACAGCCATGTGCAGGACCCTGCTCCTTGCACCCTCGTTTTAGTGTTTTGGGATGGGCATTTTTATTCTGAGTCTCTGCAGCTGTGAACCCAAAGACGACTAAGGAAACTGAAGCCAGATTCTTAAAGACTCATTGTGCAAATGTTTATCATCACATACCTGAATCCATAAATCCAGAACGGTCTCCCTCTTTCTGTGGTGCTCTTCAGCCTTGAATAAAGATAATTTTAGCCATAATTAACCTCTGAAACTTGCTTATTTCAGGCTAAAATGGTACTGATATTAAGTATGGCTTGACAGCAATGCTGTTTGGGTTTTGCTCTGTCTACAGTACTATGGGTTTATAATCCTGCTGAAGATTCCCTTGACACCCATTTGATTATTTTAATCCTATGATATTGTCTAACAACGAGGCAGTGATTTTCCAGCTGTTCAAAGGACAGAGAGACACAGAGGTTAAAAGTCAGAACAGCCCTTTACTGAGCATCAACCCTAAGGAGTTTATATACCATAACAATATCAATCACTATTTTCAATAATGACCTGCAGCCTTTATGCAGACAAAGTTTGCACTGGCATTTGCTTCAAGTTCATTTGTCAAGTAGAAAAAAAGGTAAAATTACAAAGGAGCAAAATGTTTAAAATGTCACAGGCCAAAGTTGATGCAATCTAACTCCCTTCAGCTGTAAAGCACATGATCTTCCACTCTTATGCCCACGTATCAAATCTTCGCACAGAGACACAGCCATGAACAGGAAGGGGGCAAGGGAGTTTGTTATCTATGACCTGGCACACATCAGTGTAGGGATCAAAGAGAACCACAATGGGGAGAGCACTGTTTCCCTTCCTCTGTCCAAGGAGATAAATTTGTCCATTCACGGTGCTGCATCCCATGAAGAACTTCTGGGTCAAGCATTCCTCATTCACCTGGGTCCATTCATCTGTCTCCACATCAAATCGAAAAGCTTCCCCTCCTACAGTGTACAGAGCCCCATTCAGGGACGTGATGCAGAGGTCATACCTGAGAGAGAAGAAACCCTTGATCAGAATCAAGAGAAAGATCTGGCCCCTGAAATATTCAGGGTGACCTTGGTCCTCAAATCAGAAGTCCTGTTTAAACAGAGAATCACAGAAGTGTTGCAGGGACAGGACTTATGGATTTCTACATTATAACCTATTCTTGGAGCAGGACCAGCCTAGAATCCTTCATCTTCTGCCAGGTCCCAGATTATTTCTTACCTTGGAAGAGGGGAGAACGAGATGACATCCCAGCTGTCTGTCTCTGTGTTCAGCCTTTGCACTCCATCATACACGTGTCCATTCTCATCCAGGCCACAGACCACATAGATCCTGGTTCCCACACTGACCGCGTCGCCCCTCTCCACAGGCTGAGCCATAGGACTCATGCTTTCCCACTCTGACTCCATCAAAGCCATGCGCTCCACTGCTGGGATTATCCCTTCATCTGTGCTCCCTCCGAGAACATACAAGTAGAGCCCTACTCCAACTGCACAGTGGCTATTGCGGGACTTCTTCATGGCTGGCCCTTCCAGCCAGCAATTGTCCAAGCAGTTGTAGATGAGCACCCAATCCACACTGTACCACACAAATTCATCCCGGAAATATCCTCCTGTCACAAAAAGGAAGC